CTACTATCTTTCTTATTCCCATTCTCCCACCCTCCCCCTTCCTTCTCTTTCCTCTAATCCAAACTACTTCCTTCCCTTTCCTCTAATCCAAACTACTTCTATTCTTCCCTACCCACCCCCTTATTGTGAATTAGCATCAACATATCAGAGAAAACATTCGGCCTTTGTTTTTTTGGAATCAGCTTATATCACTTTACTCTCCAGTTTCATCCGTTTACTGGTAAATGCCATAGTTCATTCTTCTTTATGGCTGAGTAATAATTCCAATGTGTATATACACTACATTTTCTTTATCCATTCATCTTTTGAAGGGCACCTAGGCTGATTCCATAATTTAGCTAGTGTGAATTGAGCTGCTATAAACATTAATATGGCTGTGTCACTGTGGTGTGCTGATTTTAAGTCTTTGGGTATAAACTGAGAAATAGCATAACTGGGTCAAATGGTGGTTCCATTCTAACAAACTTCCAAATATTGCAAGAATAAAACACTGCAAAAAATAGCAAAAAAAAAAAAATAATTAAAAACACTCTCAGTCCTCTCAGTGAGAATAACATAGCTAGTTTTATATAATGCTTATCAAATGTCAGACACTGGTTTTAAAGACTTTACATGTAATTCACTTAATCCTTGCAACAATATATAAAGGTAAATAATATAATCCTTGTTTTATAGATAAGGAAACTGATTCTCAAAGAAGCTAAATAACCTATCCTAAGTCATCATAACAAGTGGCATAACTGAAATTTGAACTCTGATTCCAAAATCAGAGCACTTAGCCAACATTTAATGCAGCCTCTTTGAAACAAGATAATGTGAACTGGTCAATTTTTGCCTCAAGATATTATAAATACATGCTGCCGTAATTAATGCATTAGAGATTTCCTTCCAACAAGTTATGCCAGAGGTCACAGACTTTGATCAACAGCACAGACTGGATGACATCTTGGAAATACTGACAAGAAGTATGTTTTCTCTTTTCTACCCTCCTTCTCATAGTTTGTGCTATGTTATTTGCCAAACGTAAGGTCATTATTTTGTGTGAAATGGCCACATTTGCTTCTATTCACTTCTGTCTGAATGTTCTGTGAGTGGTGTTGATGTTGCAATAATTGTTTATTTATTTGGACATAAGGCCCATGAAAAAGTTGTGTAGACCTAATTCAACTTTTGAGGTCCTGTGAGATGACACCCACTCCAGGAGCCCAGACAGCCACAGCTGGAGGAATTCCAGCTCAAATCAAGCATCCAGAAGCCATCTGGCTGACACTGAGAAAAATAAACATTAAGAAGGACTTCAAATTCTTTGCACTTTAACTTGAGGTGTTTGAACTTTTATTAGATTTTAACTCATAAAGGTAAGATTATGGGATATTGGATTTACTTCTGTATAAATACTTTATAAATACTGTGTAAATACTTAAATACTTCAGATTTTAATTTCCTTGGGATTTTAACCTTTGAATTTTAATTTCTCTACAAAAGTTGACAATGGGCATGAGTTAACATTTAAATTCAGGTTATCACTATTTTATTGGAATGTTATAAATGAAACATGCTACTCCTGTAATTTAATTTTATTGCAGAATCTCTAAAGAACTTATCAGAAAACTTATAGCTATTTTTAGATAGAGTTGTTAGACATAATTTGGAGTGGAAAATTAAATGGAAAGTGAACATTCAGGGCAACAAATAATGGCCTTGGAGCTGATTTAATTCATGTACCATTCTAACTCATTTCAGAATCACTGGGGTAAACTTTACACTACCTTCTATGATCTAGAAGGATCCACAAAAGAGCAGGATTATTGGAATGGAAGACTCATAAGGGTCCTAAGAGACCCCAAGAGTAAGAGTGACTCAACTGGTTCTCCCCAGTAAAATAGCCAAGGAAATTAAGAGATCAAGTTGGGAAATATTAGGAAGAATAGGAGTGTTATTAAACAACAACTACAAAAATGCAACACTAGTCTCTACATTAGTTTTGCCACTATTAAAATCTTCTATAACATCAAATAGCTTTGTATGATTAGTAAACAGGGGAATGATGGCAGAATGATATGGAAGTTTGGCAAATATATGTTTTTTTTTTCCTAAGCAAACAAAGCTAAAAAGAGTAGCAGTATATTTTTATTTTTTAGCTTGATGGCTGCACTGGAGTTCCCAGCTCAGAGAGATCCACCCCTGGCCTTACATGACTATCTGTGGGAGTTTCACTTCCTTCTGTGCCTTTCTTCAAAGAAGCCCCACTGGCCCCAACCTCCATTTCACTTTCATCTGTATTGTCTCACTCTGCACTGTTTTTGTGCAGCACTAATTTCCTCTGAAGCAGCATTCTGAGATGCCTGCCCAGGCTGTTTACATTATCTCTTAAGTTAATAATTATTCTTTTAGTTACTGTTCTGGTTTTAAAGGTGCATAGAATTTGAATAGTCTTCCCAGCCCCATTTCTCCCATACCTCTGTTATTTGGTGGGGGTGGTGGGGGTGTGACTTTGAGGATACATTATTAGCACACACATTATGTACTAGCATGTTGGCTATAGGAATCTGATATCTACACAATAGCTGATTCCTTTCTATACTTGAAAGGACAGATATATACAGGAATCATGACAAAAGAACTTTCTCACATGTTACAATATAAATTGCTTTGCTAAAATCATGTAGGGTTTAGAAATCTAAATACATAAGCAATTTGCAAATCCTGTGGATTATTTTAAGGTTTTACTAGACTTGAAAAAGTAAAAGAAATTTAATATTGAGGAAAAAATGTGCTCATTTCTCATAGCATAGGAGGAAAAATTGTAAGTGTACCTAATTCCCAAAAAGAAGGAACAGAAGAAAAAAATTTACTTTTATTTTTTATATCTGTTGCTTTTAGTTCTTAGTACAATTATACTTCTAATTTGTGCTCACAAATTTAAAATAATTGGTTTGACCTTAATGTTAGACATTATTAAATGACTTTTTTTCAGTTCTGATATGAGGCAAGCAAAAAACCCAAGTTATATATTAAATCAAAAAAAGTATCGGTATTTATTTATTTAATTAATTAATTTAAAAGATAACTCATCTAACATTTTACCTTTCCTAAGTTAAGTTCAGAAGACCATAAAAGTTTACAGACTCCAATAATTTGTTGAAAAAAATCATAATAACAAACAAAAAAAAGAAATTTAAAACCTAATATTAAGTGACGAGCGTGGTACAGACTGGAAGTTCCTCCAATAGGATTAGCTTCTTTAAGTATTTTAAGTCCAGTGAACTTGTAATACTTCCACGTGTTAGTAACTGCATAGGCTAATTTCAACTGGCATAAGCTTTTATAAGTATGCAAAAACACAGGGCAAGGCATGCATTAAAATGTGATAATAGCACACTTCTGGGATATGTGAAGCATGAGACATGAATCTGAATGCCTCTGGCACCTATGAAGTATCATGCCTCAGAATTGGTGCTTTTCTGTTTTGATAAGTAATTCTGTGATACCATTTAGAAGGGGGAAAGCCAGCTTTATAAATATAAATCTTTAATCTTAACCAAGATTATATAGTTAAATTCTAGCAGTTTATTCAAATACAATTTTTAAATTCCAGGTATTCTGGAAATAATTTAAAACCAGACAGGGTTTTAAGAAAATGTATTGGTTATTTTTTATCAATGTAAGTATAGGAGTAAATATTATTAATCTTACAAAAAAGTTAGCCAGAATGATGGAAGAAGAAACATGAAGGAATTAAAAAATCAATTTTGGTAATATTCTTACCACTCCAAAAAAATGAACATAAGGAAGGATTCCTTGTGCTACATATGTATTACAGGTACATAACTTTATCTAACATCTTCAGATAAAAATTTTTAATAAAATGAAACTAATTATGATATATAATATAAGAAAAGATGTACATATATTAATATAGCACTATGAATTTCACCTTTTATTTATATCTACAAAGCATTAATTTAAAAAATAATAAATAAATAGAAGGAAGACCAGCAGGCTAGAGGAAGGGGAACAGGAGGAGGAGAGCAGAAAAGGAAGTACTGGGGACTGAAATTGAACAAAATCATATTCCCTGCATTCATGATTCTATCAAAATGAACCTCAACATTACATTTATCTATAATGCACTAATAAAACATTTTTAAATAACTAAAAATATATCTACTTTCTAAGTGCACACACACACACATACATAATCCTTTACTCCAAAAAATGGAAGTTATAAACAATAAGTATCAAAATGTCACAGTTATCATTCAATAAGTATTAATTAAGGGTGACAAATCAAGGGCATAGCCTTACTTTTATATAGCACAAGAGAAAAAACTGGAAACAAATGAAGGTATGTGATACTGGCACATCCCCAAATCAGTATAGCTGACTGGACCTAACCTTACAGTTGAAGACGTGTTATTTAATATTTCAACCCTCCTCAGGCATGGATTTAAAGTTTAGGTGAAGTTATGGGACTATCCTAATAGCACATATAAACTCACAAATGTGGAATTCATGGTATTTTTGGTTTTAGGGAACAAAATCAGTTTCTTTAGAGATACCATAAGTAAATGTCACTTCCTGACAAAGACATACAATGAAAGTGTTTTAAAGCACATTACATAACCTTTAAACAACCTCTAGAAAGTTGACCAAAACATTTTAAAAATCTTAATATAAGCATATTATAGTACAACTTCTCTTTAGAAAGCTGTATCCCATATAATTTGGCTGTCATATTATGAAAATGTAACAATTATTTTGTTTTCTTAGTTGTGACTTAGTAAGGTTAAAATTCTAATGAACATATTTTTTAAAAAATTCAAATTTGTGCCAAGATAAAAGGTTCTTAAAATCTTAGTTCCCCATATATAAGAATACTATATTTGTCCATGTCAAACAGTTTTATTATATCTGTTTTACTTTTAATTGTTTAAAGTAAAACCAAAATTGTATAAATACCTTTCAAAATATTATCATATAGTTTACTAAAATCTTACCTTTGGAAAAATCTTCAATTTTTCTGCCATATATATCATAAAGATATCTTGCGGGTGAGTCTAGATTCATTCTCATTGTGCAAGTATCTAAAACCTATACAGGAAAAAAAATCAATAAATAATGTATTACAGTAATATCTGGTTAAATTGAATATACATTTATAGTTCTTTCTATACTATAAAGCTATTAAAATTATATTGTAAAATAAATTCCAATGATTTATAAAATGCTTCTAATGTATGAAGTTTAAAAATGTGATTAAAATTGTCAGATAATTCTACTTCAAAATACACAAGTATTAATAAGAAAGAAAAAATAGAGAAGGAAGGAATCATGCAAAAAATATTAAAATACAGATTACCATTCAATAAATAGTAAAACTTTAGAACACTAAAAAACTTTATATTATTCTTGATACTTTCCATATTTTCTATATTTCTATATTTTCCATTTACTTTACAGAGAGAATATTTATATTCAAATTAGATTTTAAGGTACTTTCTTTAGCTTTTAAATTCTTTCTAGGAACTTGTTCAAGCATACCATCTAAGCTCACTCTATTCATTCTTTCTCATTTTATGGGTAACTTTTGTTGCACGTAGCTTACAAAACCCTAACTCTGGGTGAACTTTTCCTTCCATTCCCTGTGCACCTTTCAGTCCCTATGAGAAACTTGCTACTGCTTGAGAAAATCACATAACTGAAGACATGAGCATTAATTTTATTCATCATTAACCTCCCTAGTCACTTCTGTTACATTTCTTTTTTTTCTTATTTTTAAATTGATGGACACAATACTTTTATTTTGTTTCTATTTTTATGTGATGCTAAGGATTGAACCCAGTGCCTCAAACATAATAGGCAAGTGCTCTACCACTGAGCCACAACCCTGGCCCTCTGTTATAATTCTCTACCACTTTCTGAAATGAGCATTTCCAAACCATCTTCAATCTGATATCTCTACCTTCCTTAATTCCTTTTTCACTTTCAGCAGCAAAGAGTATGAACAAGAGAAAATTGAAGCTTCATCATCCCGTTATCAAGGCTACAAGCCTACCTACTTATGCATCCATCCTCTCTTTTATCTCTAGTTATATTACAAAGGGTTCCTCACTCCTATCTAATGTCAATATTCTACAGTACTTTAAATTATGTTTGCCCTGGTTTTAAAGTAGTATAAATTATCTATCATTTCTTCTCTCTCAAGTATTTTCAAACACTCCTTAACTAGATTTTTCCAACTGACTCTCAAACATAATCAAGTCTTTCCTATATAAAAATTAAATCCCTCCATCACATCACATTTCCCTCGAGCTACTCTTCCCCTTCACAGTGAAATGTCTTTAAAGAGTTGTTCATGCACACTGTTTCCATTTCCTTTCTTCCCATTCTTTCTCAGAACATTCAAGTCTGGCTTTCTTGCCATCACTTTTCTGAAATAATCTAACAAGATTACCAATGAGTATCAGGTTGATCAATCCAAGGATATTTTCTTAATTCTCAATTCTTTTGAACTTTGAGCAAATGCTCAAATGAACATTTTCTATTTCTTTAAATCATTTCCCTTGAATTCTGAGATAAAAGAATCCACTAATCCTTCTCTTGGTTTTTTCTGTCCTGTTCATAGGTACATGCCCTCCAGGACTAGAATTGCTCAAGTTCTAGACCTTTTTCTTCTTCACTCTACTTTCTCTCTTAAGGTAATCTAAACCGAGCCCCAATGTTTCATCTTCCCTCTATGTACTGACAACTCCCAAATGGATATATACACTCCCAGGGGTTCTTCTAACTCCTGGTTATGTAATACATACCCAATATTTCCACTTCAACAGATTAAAGATACTTCAATGTGAATAGGTACAATATTCAGTTCCTGTTTCATCTCCTCCTGGCTACTCTTCTAGCATTCTGTGTCTTAGGAAAAGGAACCTCTCTTCATCAAAATGAACAAACCAGAAACTTCAAAATTGTCATTAATACCCTTAACACTTCATTGTCAGAGCCTGCTTATTTTGTCTTACCAATCCATACACTTTTCTCAATCTCCACTACTATATCCTGTTCCAAGCCATTACCACCTATAGGTAGAACTCCTACAGTAAGCTAATAGTCTCCCTACCTCTGTTCTTGCCCATTCAACTTGTTCTCCACCAAGCACTAAAGTCACCTATTCAAAATTATAAATCTGGTTACACTCCATAACACTCCTAAGTAAAACTCATTACAGGATTTCTCAGTGCTCTCAGAGAAAAAGGCAGAAAAAAATCTGTGACCTTTCTTACAAAGCCACTCTTTCCTTCATTTATCAACCTCTCAATCCCTGGAATTCATCCTATCCACTCTTGCCATGGAGCCTTTCTGTTTGCTGTGTTCTCTGTTTGAAATGTTTCTCTAGCTTCACTATCCCCCACGTGTTCCCACATAAGTCCTGTTTATCTTTTCTCAGAAGGCTTTCCTAGGCCACCTATTCCATGTTTAGTAATGTAATCATTTTACCACTGTCCCACAACTAGAATGAAAACAGCTTTGCTCACCGGTAAATCCAAGTACTGGTAGATGTCAATAGTCATAAAAATATTTTATGTTAATGAAAAAACAAAGGTCAATACATATTATTTCTAATATATGATCTCATTTCATAATTAATGTCCTACTTTGATTCTAGTAAAATAATAAAATGTATGAACAATTTTACAAGATTATCCTAAAATTAAACAATGCATAATTTCAGAAGACTTTTTTTTTTCAAAAAGATCTAATATTTTTAGTACCAGAACACTGACCTTAAATTATTTTTAGGAAATAAAATAAGAAAACCTTTTCATATTTATATCAATATTGCTGGTTGTCTACCAGATATGCTATACCTCATTCCTGTTATACAGTACTGATTTTTTTAAGGGCTATCCTTCCTGCTTTTGACTCAAGGAAGATTACAGTTATCTTGTTAGTGAATGGCTTGGGGATGGATACATAATCCAGTTTGGTCAATGAGACACCATTAGGGGCTTCTGGGAAAAGCTTCTTCATTCATATGAAAGAGATGGTCCAGCTGTGGAGTAGCAATCTTTTACCAATATATGAAAAATGCAAAATTCAGAGAACACAGCTAGAATCCTATCACTGTACTTGAAGATGCCCTACTTCTGAATTTCTTGGTTGCTTTTCCCTTAGCCATTTGAATCAGAATATTCTTTCATTTGAGTTAAAGTCATACTGATAGGAAAAAAAATATGTTGGCCTATGTTGCTCAAATGATGCAAACTGATTTAGCTAATTCATTGAGTATTGTGCAGCAAATAGATTACTACATTTACCATATAAACCTAAAGAAGGAAATATTTAATTAGGAACTGAGGGAAGAAATTTAGAATAAATTTGGCAAGGTGAAAATGAATGAATAATTATGAAATTCATTCTTTTACTAAAAATATTTCACCTTTTGCAATTAGTTGTACTTGTTTAGTGGAACAGAACTACAACATATCATGAATATTTTGAGAAAGAAAATCTATTTATTTTTTTCCCAAATGAAAGATGGTCAAATAGGCTTGAATTTTTCAAGAACTAAAATTCATTAGATAACCCAAATCTCTGCTGAGGCCAACATTTTATAACTTAGAGTTAGAATTATTTATCCTTATTTTAACCTAAAGATACCAAGAGATTGGGTTGAATCTGTACCTACCTTATTAAGTGGCTTATAGGTACTTTTCTGAATAAATCTTGGAGATAAATTTGCTGGCTTTTTGTCTTATTCTCAGAAAGGTAGGTGATAGAATAAATAATCTAGTTATTTGTTCTTACTAGTAATGAACATGACTGACACTTATAAAAGCAATTATTTCTTGTAAATTTGTCTTCTGTTATATTCTGGTATTTTACATTATAAAGTAAATGAAAAGTATATAAATGGAGGTTTTCTAAGCAATCTATTAATGCATAATTCTTGGAATACTTTACCTTAATTGATCTCTTCTTAAGGATAATTGTCCAGATTACACTTCTAATTATATTGCTATTTTTGTTAGATTTTAAATATCTACTCTATTGGTGTTTAGTTGATAGGAAATAAACTGTACCTATTTTAAGTGTGAAGTGTGATGCATGTAGAAAAATATTTGTCCCTGTGTAACAACCACTACCATCAAGATATAGAATACTGCCATACCCTTCAAATTCCTCAGGCTCCTTTCCAATCAGAACTTAATAACTGGTCCCAGGCCACCAATAGTCTCTTTCCTATACTAGAGAATAGTTTTATCTATTCAACAATTTCATAGTATTTAATATTTTGTAAATGGCTCCTTCGTTTTCTACATATTTATTCCTTTTTATTGTTGAAGAGCATTCCTTGGCATGGATATATCATAATTTTTATTCACCAGTTGATATAGTTTTGGATTATTTCTAGTTTGGGCTATTAAAAATAAAGCTACTATGAACATTCACTTAGAAATGTTTGTGTTGATATGTTATTTCTCTTGCTATATGTCTAGAAATTGGACTACTACATTGTTTGGTAAGTATATATTTAACTTAATTGGAAACGAAACTATTAAGTTTTGCAAAGTGTCTGTATCATTTTTAATTCTCATCAGCCAAATGAGATTTCCCATTTCATCAACACATGGTATTGTCAAGTCTTTTTAATTTTAGCGATTCTAATGTTTGTGTAGTGGTAACCCATTGTGAATTGCTGAGAGCCATAGCCAAGTAGGAATGACACATGGCATTTTTGGCTGAAAGGTAATGCCAGCAAGCCATTGAGGTGATAATGATTATGTTAATATGTGCATTCAATTGGAGTTTAGACCCCTGCTGTCCCCCTCTGCCTGCCACTTTGGAGCTCTCACGGGACTCCTGGAGAGTTCCCATTGGTTGGGGAAGTGTGGTAGGAGGGAATTCCGGAGGAGGGATTTCCTATTGGTGTACTGTGTCCCGGGAGAAGGCCGTGTGCGTGGCATTCGCAGGAGTTTTGGAAATAAAGTTTGTTCCTGCTTGACTGGCTCGTGATTTTGTGCCCAGCCAGGCTGCGGCAGTGAATTTAATGTGCATTTCTTTAATGACTAATAGTATTGAGCATGTTTTCA